TNGTTTTTTTGGGTTAGCGCAACGCAGCCTCTCAGCACACCGACTAGCATCTTATCATTCTGTGCAGGGGTAAGCCGCTTTCTCTCTTGTCTGGCAATCGTTGCAGCATGGACTTGCGCTCTGCGATGCAGTCAAAATCAAGTTGCGAGTAAACCATCATCTTTCGCAATACACCTTCAGGACATGTCTCGAACTACAGATTAGATAGAATGATAAATGAAATTAACCCTCAGGAAGAAAGTGGCCATGTTTATAAGCCTTGCGGTGTCAACTATTGCCGGGGGGGGTTCAGCATCCCTCTCGGGGTTTATGCCTTCTGCAAAGAGCGTGTCAGATATCAATTATCTATACAGTGTATAATGACGATATGTTTCAATATAGTTTTGGTTTTCAAAGAGTTCAGAGAGCAACCCCGCCTGATGGCAAACACCCGCTTCGTGATATCCGCTCTTGAGTGTACAAAAGCCATAGATCGAACGTGACTTTCCAACCAAGACTCACCGCCTTTTAGCATGCATTCCTTCGCAACGAGAGGAGATGTCGTCGAGAATTCAATTTTTGGCGCTCTTGGAATTCTCTTCTATACTACCACTCTTGTCCAAAGCTGGCGTCACTTCAAAGTTGGCCCTATCAGTGCTGCACAGTGGTACCACCAGAGGGCATTCATTTCGGCTATCATACCTGCCATTATCTTCCTGGCTGGTAATCTTGTGTGCCCATCATGGATTGGCATTGCACACAGCAGTGACTTACCATACACTGCTCCTGGGATACTATGGAAAGTCATTGTGGCCATATGCTTCGCTCTTTCTGAAGTATGTCTCATTCCTACTTTTAATTTCTTCCAACTTACGATTGCAGACAATCAAACTCTTCGCGATTTCAGATCAAGTTCCCAAGAGAAAGCTCGCTGGTGCTTGCGTCCTATCTCTCCAAGTGCTGTGGCTTGTCTTTGGCATCTGGCAGTGGCGTTCCGGCGCGGTATGGGCCTTTCCAGCCATCATTCACGGGTCATTTGCGGCTATTCTGCTCTATCAAATCATCATCCGGAAGTGTAATGCATCACACCCTGCACCCCCTTGCTCTGATTTCATTCGCCTTTTTCTACGTACTTTGATCACAGCGGCGACCCTTGGCATGGGAATTTACTCGTTTGCGAAAGGACCGCTCAGATGCCACTTTAGCCTGCAATGCGCCTTCTCACTGTTTGAGAATGTTCAGTCAGCGGTATATGCAGAAATGCGATTTATCAAGGCGAGGTCAAACAGCAAGGACGTCATAGCCATGTCGAATAGAAGGCGATCCGGAAGTTGGATTAATGACCGATCACAGCAGAGCCTAGTTCGCCGCGATCAAATTGAAATCACTGTGTAATTTGTTTTATTACATACAAATAAACTCACATGGGTGAACCTGGACGTCAAGCGTAGATTTCGAGACTGGGTAAGTCTCTAGCTGTGATTTTCATGCCGCATCCGACAGATGATTGACGGCTCTGAGTCGCCGCTGTTAGCTCGTTGAGCAACCAGCGAATCAAGGCTTATAAAGGAGAGATGTCCTCTCTATTAAAAATAAGACTCTCTTTGGCAAACT